AATTAATTTGGAATCAGGAAACCAAGGTTTAAGTTCCAGATGTCCTTGGAGTCATATGAATGCTTTATAACAGAAAGAGTATATAGAAGAGACAAGGTTTATTTCTTCTATTTTCTTTTTTCCACAGGGAGCTGCTTAAGTATGTTATGTGATATGCATACATCTGTATTTTAGTTTAGTAGCCCCAGTGTTGAAGAATAAAGTGAAAACATATGCGTAGTGTTTCAGATAGTATTTAAATACAAGCTAAGCATTTTCAACCAGTATTATTTTGAACTAATTTATGAAGTATCTTGAAATTTTTATTTTCTTTCTAAAAGCTAAGTATATGTTCAGTTTTACTGTGTGTGTGTGTGTGTGTGTGTGTGTGTGTGTTTTGCTAGGGATTGAACCCAGGGCCTCACACAAGCTAGGCAAGCACTCTACCACCGAGCTACATCCCCAAGCCTTTAAATGTATGTTCACTGTGTGTTTCTTGATTAAATTTGGATTTATGTTATGATTTGGATTTTTTGTTAATAGTTTTAAATGGTTTAGTCTATTAGCTAATACAACTACTTTGTTGTGTAATGGAAATAATGAGAAAAAATTATAGGTGTATTTTCATGTTTTTCTTTCTTATTATAAATATCAAATCAGCTAGTATGGTTTACTGCTGCAGTACAGGGACTCTGCAATCTTTATGGCCTAGTTAAAGAAAATACTTTGTTCTTCAGTTTCTCCTGGGGAACCTAAAAATGATTATGCTGTTTTGTTTGTTTTACGTTTAATGAGAAATACTTGGGATAGGTTTGAGTTGCCAAAGAATAAATGGTGGTTACTCTACCTCCTCATTGGGCTTTTAGCTGGAGGATGTTTGTTGATGCACTTATTTATACATATTTGTAGAGAGGAACCAGAGCAGAGTGGAGTTGAGTTGTTCTGCCTGGTAGGAAGAATTTGGGTGGAAGAACAAACTTGTGAGGGTGATGGAGAGAATACTGCCATCCTCATCCTGTTGAGCCATTTTTTGAAAGACGTGAACTATCTTTCACAAGTTAGTTGCTTTGGAAAGCTAAACTATCCACAGTGACTATGCATTTGTTTTTTTGTGGAGTACATACCCTGGCAAAATCATTAGTAACGTCTCTCTTGTCCATCAATCTTGTGTATGAGTAGAATGTTGGAAGAACCTGAAAAGAGGTGCTGACTCCTTTCTGTGCACACTCCAGTACAGGAAAGCCAACACGAGCACTCCAGAGTGTCTAGCACCGAGACCCACGGGCTGCAGGCCAGACCTCCTGAGCAAGACGTGTTTATTGGATACGTGCAACTGGCATGCACTTTCTATCTTTGTATCAACTATGTAAGAGCCATCTTCCTTTAATCACTAGGAAAGAGGACTGGGGATGTGACTCAGTGCTAGGGTGCTTGTCTGGCATGTGTGAGGCTCTGGGTTCAATCCCCAACAGCACACACAAAAAAGAAAAACTAGAAAGGGGAGGCTTAGGAAAACCAAATAACCTACTCAAAGTTACCTGGCTTAAAAGTGTTAAATCGGGCTTCATACCCAAATATGTGATATCAAAGTCCTTGTTTTGAATTGCTAAATTGTGTAGTTTTATTTTTGATAAGGATGTTATTTGAGAATTTAATTATTTTTTATAAGTTCAGAAAGATAAAAATAGAAGCTCCAGAATTCTGAAAATTGGAAGATTTTTTACTTTTTAAACTTTGTAAGAGTTCAAAAAAGTAATTACTACTTCTTTATGTTAATCTCAGCCAAGAGCTTTTTTCTTCCCTTCTGTTGGTCAGTTCCTGTCACACATCAAGATAACACTTCTTTCTGTAGCCTTCAGCAACTTCAGCAGGTCCTCACAATGGGTAATGGTGGTGGTATCTGTGCTCACACGATTTTTCACAGTTGCTGCCTTTTCAGCATTTTCTTCCTTTCTTCTTTGTGTTAGGAGGAACTGTTTGGTCTTATTTTCTTTATTTTTTGGTCCCAGGGACTGAACCCAGGGGTACTTAATTACTGAGCCACATCCCAAGCCCTTTTAATAGGGTCTCAGTGAGTTGCTTAGGGCCTCAATAAGTTGCTAAGGCTGGCTTTGAACTTGCAATCCTCCTGCCTCAGCCTCCTGAGCTAATGGGATTACAGACATGTACCAGTGTGCTCAGCCAAAATATCTGCTTTCCTGAGCTAATTCACATTCAATACAATTCACCCTTTAAAAGTATATGATTCAGTAGAGCTTAGTATTTTCAGGCTTTTGTATAGCCATCAGCATAATCATTTTTAGGTTTTTTTTCATCACCCCTAAAAGAAACCCTGTAATCCATTAGGAGTCACTCCCCATTTTTTCCCTGTTTCCCTACCCTGCTGCCTTAGATAGCCAATAAATTTTGTCTCTATAAATTTCCATGTTCTGCACATTATTTACAAATGAAATCATTCGGTATGTGTTCTATAGCTGACTTTTACCATGCATAATGTTTATAAAGGCTTATTCAAGTTGTAGCATGTGTTAGTGCTTCATTCCTTCTTATGACTGAATAACATTCCACTATATAGATAAACCACATTTTGCTTATCTGTTCATAAGCACTTGGGTGGTTTCCTTTTTGACTCTTATGGACAATGCTGCTATGGACATTCATGTACACATTTTTGCATGAACATTGTGTTCAATTTTCTTGGATTCATAAATGGAAGTGGAATTACTGACTTATGTATAACGTTAGCTTTTGAACAACTGCCAGATTGCTTTCTGAAGCAGCTGCACCATTTGACGCTCTTCTCAGAAGTGTGCAAGGGCACCAATTTCTCTGTCTCCTTTCTAACAACTCTTATTTGGTTTTTGATTCCAGCCATCCTAATGAGCATGAAGTGGTATCTCACTGTGATTTTGAAATGCATTTATCTGATGGATCCTTATTTTTTTTTCTTTTTTTTTTTAATTTTTTTTTTAATATTTATTTCTTTTAGTTATTGGCGGACACAACATCTTTGTTTGTATGTGGTGCTGAGGATCGAACCCGGGCCACACGCATGCCAGGCGAGCGCGCTACCGCTTAAGCCACATCCCCAGCCCCTGATGGATCCTTATTAATTTTAAATTGCTCTAGGTTAGAAATAGTCTTATCTTTTTTTGTCCCTATTAAATACTCATGGTGTTTTCCACCTATTAATTCATAATAAATGTTTGAATTTATGACACTGTTTTTAAATTTTTCAAGAAAGAGAGGTGGGGCTGGGGCTGTAGCTTGGCAGCAGGGTGCTTACCTAGTATGGGTGAGGCACTGGATTTGATCCTCAGCACCACATAAAAATAAACAAAATAAAGGCATTGTATCCATCTACAACTACAAAAAAAAAAAAAAAAAGAGAGGTGGACTTTTACATTCCCCAAATTACTAGCATTTTACTCTTAACTCACACCTGCATCTTACACCACAGTTACACGTTGTACTGTTTCTTGATCTCTCATTCCTAAGCCCTGTACACCAAATGGCTTGATGAGTAAATGAATGGAGTTTTGTTCATGTTCAATCTGAATTGTTAAGGATTTTCTGTGAGCAGGTAAGTGTTCGCAGAATTCCTGGTAATGCTACCAGCCTTTTGAAATATATAAAGAACACTTAGTGGCTTCATTTTGTATTGACATCTCCAGAAATACAAAAGACTCAGAAGCGTGGATACTTCTGAAATATAGTTTTACCTGTCTGATTATTGCATATTGTCCAAATTGTTATTATGTATTTGGGATTCCTCATATAATATGTTAGTCTTGGATTGGTATGCATTTCTCTTTTTTTGATTCTTTAATTTTTTAATTTATTTATTCTAATTAGATATGTATGACAGCAGAGTGCATTTTGATTCATTGTACACAATTGCAACACAACTTTTCATTTCTCTGGTTGTACACCATATAACATTGCACCACATGTGCAGTCATACATGTACCTAGGGTAATGATGTTCATCTCACTCCATTTTTTGCATCTCCCCCTTCCCCCATTATGGGTCAGCATCTACTTATCAGAGGAATATTCGGCCTTTGGTTTTTGGGGATTGGCTTACTCCGCTTAGCATGATATTCTCCAATACCATCCACTTACCTGCAAATGCCATAATTTTATTCTCTTTTAATGCTGCATTTCTTACCTGAGGAAATCTATGAAATGTTTGCCTGGTAAATCAAGAGACTTGATCACAGCAGTTAGAATCTTTGTTATAAGGTACACTTAAAATACTTCAAAATGATAGATTAAAGAATATGAGTGATTTTTAAGATTTTAGAGAAGATGTTAAAACTTGTCTATTCTAGAATTATAAAGGATCTATATTCACCTTTAGCACCATGTCAATAAACACTTTAGCACAAAGTAAGTATGCACTGTAATGTGTTAGGAAAACAGAAGGGCTTTTTATTATATAAAATGACTTATTTTGGCAACATTAATTTAACTTTGTGAACAAAGCAGTTATTTATCAGCAAATCTTTATATAACTAAAAAAGAGAGAGAGAGAGAAAATGGAACACAATAAAGATTTTCAACTATTGCTAAATTTTCCTAAAAGACAAATTGCTCTGAAATAATCTGGTGGTTTTTAGTTACCTGTTTGATGCTTTAAGAGAAAAGTGTGAACATGTGATTTCATAAATCTGTGTGCTTTGGATTCTTAGTAAGATGGCCTCTTAAAAATAAAACATATTCTGTGCTCCTAATAGTAATCCTAGGGTACCGTAATGAATGAGTAACAACTACAAGCTTGAAGTCTGAAGAAAGAGTGGAAGAAGACAGTGTATTACTTAAATGAATGCTTGCTTTTTACACTGATGTGCCCAACTGTTATCAGATGTCCTCAGAGTGATGGAATGGACTTGACTCTGGTCTCCTGGCTAATGCTATTTTCTTAATCATTCTGTGGAAATTACTGTTAAGAGAATCGACATGTTCACTTTTTTTCCAGCTTGATGATGTTTAAAAGTTTGAAAAAAGTATAAGAAGCCATTGAAGTTTAGTTTTTTATTCTCACTATTTCTAATTGATATTTCTAAAGATCTATGTCATTTGAGTAAGTTCTAATGCTATGCAATGATGCAGTTGATTGTTAAATGCAAGTCTGGTTTTATACTAATACATAATTCTAGATATATTATTTTGCACAATTATGTGTTCAGTTAGTTATAAATTTTATGAAGTCATAAACATATACCTATATAATTTCTTGCCATTCTTGAGTTTCATAGTAGTGAGGGTTGAAGTGTTCTTCTGTCCCTTCTGTTTCTTGGCCTTCAGGAGTGTTATCATGATCATCCCCATCATCTTCGTCATCATCTTGAAATCTCCCAAAAACTTGGGTCTTCAGTTGTATTGTTTGACCATTTGTGCTTCTTTGTTCACCATAATAAATACTATGTATATGAGGGAAGCAGGAGAAGATATGTGAATTTATGGGTTCTTTCAGCTTATTTTGGTCCACACGAAGGTATGTTAAATGGTGAAGATGTAGTGGGTCAATAGAAGGACACATCATTGTCACATTGATATCTGAAAAATACGAATTAAAAATTAAAACTAGTTTATATTCATAATTCTATGTAGGGTTTTATGTTACATGGAATAGTTTTATTAAAATATTTATAAGTGGTTTTAGGTTCAATTATTATTTGATGCTAAGGAAAATGAAAGTATAAATGAATTTCGTTTCCAAAGTTAATATAAATTTACTGACTTTTCTGATTACTTAATAAATTCTTAATAGAAACAAATAAAATAAAAATCATTCATAGTCCCACTACTCAGGGGACTTATATTTATATTTCTTTATATACTCTATTAGTACAATTTCCTAATATTCAAGATAATAAAATTTTAATAGGAAAGACATACACTTAATGGAAAACCTTTTTCTGGGGTCAATTTCTACCTTTTCCTTAGCCAATTTCAAAGCAGCACTTTCTCATAATTTATGAAGCATAGATTATTGACAATTTATTCCTTAAAGAGGCAAAATACATTTCTTGTTCATTAAAATATATAAAATTTTACATACTTTCTATTTCATTATTTTCTAGGTATAGGTGTTCCAAATTTCTTGGAATGTAAAATGCTTGCTTCAATTTGTTGTGTCCGACGTTGAGCTCTATAAGGTTGGAAAGATTAAAGATGTTATATGGGATGTCTTGCAGTTTGTTGTGTGACATTCTTAGAGCGTGAAGTTTTGGAAGTTCATCAAAGTATTTGTCTGGTATAGAAGAAATTGAATTATTTTCTAAAGATAGATACATAAGTGAGGAAGGTAATCCAGGAGGCATTGATTCTAATCTGTTATGACATAGGTTGAGCTGCATTAATTTTTCCATCTTGGCAAGGTTTTTTTCTTTTAACACGGAGTCATGAAGGTGATTATAACAGAGATCGAGCATAGTCAAGTTTACCAGCCCATCCATGGCACTTGTGTGTAATGTGGAGATTTCATTGTAACCAAGGAGGAGTCTTTCCAGAGATTTAGGAAGAGGAAATGGAAATTCTTCTAAATTGTTATGCTCTAGGTGAAGTTGTAGTAGATTTGAAAATTTTGCAAACACACCATACTCAATCTTTTGAGATTTAATTTTGTTGTGGCTGAGGTTAATTTCTTTAAGATGAGTTGCATTGATGAATGAATTTGCAGTCACAGCCTCAATTTCATTGAACTGAAGGTAGAGTTGCTGGATATGCATTGGAATATTTGGGATAGTCTTGAGTTTGCGATTGTCACAGTACATCGATGTTGGAAAGTTAGTTGGACAGAAGCATTCACTGGCACAACCTAAACTATGCTGATAAAAAGGAACTCCATATTCTACATGTTGACGAAATTGGATTTCTGGTTCATAATCCTCATTTGGTTCTTGGTCATAATCTTCATCCCATTGATAAGTTTCATATTGGCAGGATACTTTGTCTCCAAAAAAGAAGAATAGGACATATACTAGACTTAAAAAGCCCATGTTCTTTTTTTTTTTTTTTTTCCTATTGCAAGGAGAAAAGGAAATATATTGTGGGAAAAAAATGAATGAAACTCAGAATAATTCTCATTTAAATTGACAATTATATACAATATATTATGTTGTAGATAAGAGAATATCCAGAAGAATGGGCAATACTGAAACCAAAAGTAATGATTATATACCATTGAAGCAGAATTTAAAAAACAAAAAATCACCTTGCACTGAACCAGAATCAAAGGTCTAGTGTTGTGTGCTTTTTACTAAGAAACCATTCTCTTTCATGAGAACCTCAGTTATCTTGCTTACTCCCCTAGTATTAGCTACCTGACATGACTCAACTACAGTCAGGTGCTCCCTCCACTGTAAATGTTGGGTGTTTTTACCAGCCATTCCATCCTTTAGTGATGGTTACTCCCTATGAGAAGAGAGACCTATGTTTCTGTTAGAGTGCTTTTGCTAATTAGATTCCTAGTGTAAAGCTAAAATCCTCACCCCACAACTTCTATTACTGGTACCCTTTAATCCCCTTTGAAAGAATACGAAATGTGCCCTTTTATGTGATAACATGTGATACTTAGAAAAACCTAATTTGTTTCCTCTTGATGCTTTCTAAGTCTATTTTGCACCTTCAAATTGTCTTCATGAAACAGTTTCCAGAGTCTAATTTCTCTGTTTGAGTAACAACTTCAAATATAATATCTATATCCTGCCAAGTTTAGTTTCTAGTAAATTAGTCTTTATGTTTTCTTCCTAATTTCCTTATTGCCACTAATATTTTTAGTTAATTTCTAGATATACAAATATTCAAAACACTACTTTCCCTGTCTCCCAGGAGTTTAAAGTCTAGTGGAGAATCAGGGAAGCAGAGAGTGCAGTGCAGTGCAGCAGAAGGACATTATGTGGAGCAGGATTGTAAGGGGAAAGATATCTTACACAATTAACACTTGTATCGCTGAAACTTACAGAGAAGAGTATTATATCTTAAGACTGAAAATTTCCATTTCAGTCTTGTTACTGAACATATGTGTCTCATGGTGCCAGCTACTTGGGAGACTAGGGAGGCTTACTTGAGCCTAGGAATTCGAGACCAACTTGGGTAACACAGTGAGACTGTCTCAAATAAATAAACTGAAAGTTACAAAATTGTACTTGAAATTATACTTAGCCTGCTTATCTCACCTGGTAGTTGTTGGTATCATAAGAGATACACATTTAAAAGTACTTTGCAAATTGAAAACTGCTATACACAGGTAGAATGAATATATTGTTTAGGAAAAACTTAAAGATTTTACCTCTTTTTTTTTTTTCCTTTTCCTGAGACTTTTTTTTTTTTTTTTTTTTTGCTACCCTTCTCATCTAGGGTTTCATGAGAGAACAAATGTTTGTAATGAAATTACTTATCTCCTCTTCATCTAGAACGGTACTGTCCTTTATCAGTATAATTGAGAAGATGCTACTTGAATCATTTTCTCTTCACAGAATACCATTTGAGAAAATCTTGAGTTTCTTGTCCGAAATTTTAAAAATGCATACAATGTAAATATTGTATGTGTTTAGGATTTGAAGCACTTACTCAAGTAGAGTCAGAGGCCCTTGATCCTTTTTCCTTCCATGACCTTGTCCTCCATTCTTCCCATGTACCCACATCCTAGGTTTGTCATTATCAGAATAGTAACCCCCTCATACTCTCAATTTTGCACATCTCACACTGACCACTATCTTCATATGGTAATTCCAAATGCAATAATTCTCCAGTTTCAGTGAAATGTAAAATATATTAATCCTACTGTCTTTTCATTGCATTTCATCCTTCACTCCCAATATCATGAAGATATCACTCTGGTATTTATCCTGAAGAATTAAAATCATCCTACTGTAGTGATACATGCATACCCATGTTAACAGCAGCACAATTCACAATAGCCAAACTATGGAACCAGCCTAGATGTCCATCAACAGATGAATGGATAAAGAAAATGTATTACATATACACAGTGGAGTTTTATTCAGTCATAAAGAAGATTAAAATTATTTTATTTGCAGGAAAATAGATGAAACTTGAGAATATTATGTTAAGTGAAATAAGCCAAACTCAAAGTCAAGGGTCATATATTTTCTCTCTTAAGTGGAAGCTAGATGCAATGGTCATCCCTTTACCAGTATGTGATTTTGTAAATACTTGAAGTTTCTTTTTGCAGATCTAGATACATTACATTTGTTGTTCATTCTGCATCCTTGAAGGAATGTTAGGGTTCTCATAGAATGAGGTGAGGATGATTATTTCCAGTTGGAAGAGCTGAGTAACAGCATAGAAGGAACAAAGTATGAGTTGTTTGAGAAATGGTGGTTAACTGCTAAAGGAGCAGAATAAGACTACTATAGCCAGAATCTGAATAGAATACATTCTGATGTAAAGGATTTTCACTCTAGGACTGGGACTGTGGCTCAGCAGTAGAGCGCTTACTTTGCACGTGGGGCACTGGGTTCTATCCTCAGGACCACATAAAAATAAATAAACAAAATAAAGGTACATCTACAACTAAAAAAATATACATTAAAAAAAGAATTTTCCCTCTAGAAATGAATGCTTAATTTAGTGAATTAATGAATTTGGGCTGTAGTTCTTCATTCTCTAGTGTCATTGGGTGAAGTAGGAGAGAGTCTCCAGAGGAGCTGGAGTGTCGGACAGGTTTCATCCCACAGGGCAGTGTTCAGAGCAAGCCAGCTCTCTGTGCCAGGCTGGAAGCTTCCATGCATCTGCTTCATGGAACTTTTTTTACCTGCTGTAGTTATTCTGCTAGCTATTGTATGGGATGTGTTGAGTAATAATATACAAATATTAGTGGTTAGTTTGATTGAGTTCCTTTAGTTTACATATGTCTTGAATTATTTCTAAATGTAAAGCACTGTGCTAAATTGGTGAGGAACACAGAAATGAAGAGGACATGAAGCCATAGTCCCTTCTATAAAGAGAAATGTTTTAATGGAAGAGAAACACACCACAAAATTAACCTTAACCTAACGCAGAGGGTTGTGTAGTTTGTAGCAGTCACAGACAATGCTGTGTGGCCCAGGAGCTTGACCCTGCTTGAGGGCAGTGGGGAAGTCTCTTTTAGATATCATTTAACCTAGACTTTGGGAGATTGGAGAAACTGGTATAGAAAATCCTATACATCTTATTGTGGATTATATTTTATAGGAAATTCTATAGGGTTTTTATTATCACTCATTATACTATAGCATATGAGTTTTAGTGCCACTAAAGCCACTAAAATTGGGTCTATAAAACTGCTACCTTCCCAGAAGATGAAGGTGGAAGCTGAGACGTAGAGATGGCCATACCATTGGACCAGGCCACACAGGAGTCTGTCTGCAGCCAACTTTCACACAGGATTTTTTTTTTTTTTTTTTTTTTTAAACCAGGGATTGAACCCAAGGCTGGCCACATCCCCAGCCACTTTTATTTTTTATTTAGAGGCAGTGTCTCACTAAGTTGCTTATAGCCTCACTAAATTTCTGAGGCTGGCTTTGAACCTGCAATCCTCCCACCTCAGCCTCCCAAGCTGCTGAGATTACTGGCATGCAGCACCACACCTGGAAATGTTAAAAGAATATTGCTCACTGACATTTAGCCTGAATTTTATCTTTGTGTTAATAACTTTAGATATTATAATTTAGCAAACTTACAAACTTACATTTGAGAATCTGTTGTTTAACAATTATGAAAAATTGGGGGGGAAAAAGGATATGTGAATGATATCTTTGACCCTACACTTAATTATATACCTTTGACTAAAATCGAAACCTCATTACTGGGACCTCTCCGAAAATAAAGGAAATTCTTCATGCTGTCAACTTTTATTCTTTGCGGGCACCTAAGAAGAAATACTTCCCTGAAAAGCAATTTCTCTTCTAAACCCGAACTCATTTTAAACATTCCCTCTGTATTTGTAACCTCTAGTGCCACCTTGTCCTGCCCTCTTTTAACCAAGTGTAGTTTCCTGTCTGAAATTAGCCTCTTTCTATCCATACACTCATCAGCTCTGATTCCTTTTCCTTGTTCCCTGTGATAATTTTTCCTGTTGTAATGATCTTATTTCATTTATCCAACTAATCTCAACCATTTGCTAAGAATATTTTTGCTACTTTCACTTTCATATTCTATAGTCTATGCCTTGTTCCTTATAGGAAAACTCACAGCAAAACATTAGAACACACATCAGTCATCTCATTTCCCGGCCCTAATTTTTATTGTTGTTGAACTGGAGATTGAACCCAGAGCCTCACACATCCTAGGCAAGTGCTCTACTACTGGGCTACACCCCTCACCCTGCAAGCTCTAATTTTTAACAAAATCAATTATGATTATAAATGATCAAAGTTTTTTGAATGGATGATTGAATTAATAAGTTATAGATTTCATCTTGTTAGCAATGCTTCTTTTTACTAATGTTGATTATCCCTAGGCATTTATTTCACAATTGTGATTTCTTCAGATGAACATTAAGAACTTGGCTATTGTCTTTTCTATGAATATCTTGTCTTAACAATACTCCCTCTCTTATTACACTGTCCAGTAGAAAAATAATAAAAGGAAAACTTAAAAGAAAACAAAACAAATTTATATATATATATATATATATATATATCAGTTTTTTTAACATTATCCATTAATGTGAGTTTTCATATCATATATTACAATAAAAGCTTCTATATCATAAATTTCTCTTATGTGGAGAAAAGCACTCATGCCTTCATCAAGAATCTGATTCAAATTCTTTATAAAAATGAGGTGTATTTACTTAGCTCTGGAAAATTTAAAAGAGTCATGGCATTTTATTATTTTAAGGATTCATTTGCATGCTATAGAAGCTAGCATTGTAAGAAACAATATTCAAGTTTTGTCCAAAACAATTTTAAATTTCTGAAATTCTTTTGCTATTTAAAATTTTAAAATTCAATTATTTTTAGCCATGATGCATTTAATTATTAATTACCATGAACTCAAGTAACTGTAGTAGATCCTTCAATAGATT